TTTTGAGACAGGAGCAGATATAAATAAATAAATAAGAAAAAAAAATAGAAAAAACAAATAAAAATTAAAAAAAAATAAAACAGAGATAGGGTCTCACTCTGTTGCCCAGCCTGGAGTGCAGTAGGGTAATCTAGCTCACTGCAGTGTCGAACTACTGGGTTCAAGGTATCCTCCTTCCTCAGCCTCCCAAAGTGCTGGGATTAGCAGTGTGAGCCACCGTGCCCAAACTGTATTGCTTTATCATGCATTCAGCCATCTATCCATCCATCCATCCTTCATATTTGTTGAGGTATTTCAAAATGTTTCGACATCAGATCTTTTTACAGAGGATGCCCCTGGCTATCACGAGTAGGGTGCCCGCTGAAGCTCTCCTCGTCCCTAGAAGCCAGCCCAGCTGTCCTGTTTGTGTGAATAGTCTTTGTCTGTGAACACCGAGGGGGCAGGTCCAGGCCTGTACAGGTCACCCCTGGATCCCAATGCTGACTGGCCAGCTCAGCAGCTCAGGGACCTTGGGATGTTGCCAGTAGATGACCCGCTGCCATCTGCTGAGAACAGTCGATGCTGTTTGGAGGCACAAATTGTCCCTCAGTGTCCCCATGAATGTTACCCTGAAGCCGACCGCTGAGAGAACAGGTCCACGATTCACCCCCAGCCACCTTCCACCGTCCCCGTTAATTACCAGGACAAGTGATGGTCTGGGGCAGCTTGGAGAGACCAGACCCACAAGCTTTTTAAAATAACTGCATCCTTTAATGGCAGTAATACAATTATTGGATTAAGAGACCACAGGAGAAAAGGCAGGTGACATTTCTGGAAGACAGATATGGAGTATAAAAAGGGTGTGAAATAGTCATGCGACGATCATTGTAAAAATACAGTTCATTATATACATATTTGCACCACCAACTCTCAACTCTGAAATAGTATTTACACTTTTGTTACAATCCTGGTTAGAGAACAATTTTTCTTTAAAAGCTTGGCCTGATGGCAAATGAGAATTTCGGGTGAATTCATAGTCCCATGAGGTTCTTAGGCTGAATATTCCAAGAGGAGCACTCCAGCTTCTATTTTATCCACAGATTTCGGTTTAAAAAATATTTAATTTTCTTTTACAAAAGAAAATGTTTGAGAAAAAAAACAAACACAAAACACTGCCACACTGTGTATTCATACTTATTTTACAAACACCAAGGGCTGCACCCTCCACTTCAAGGCCAACACTGGTGGCTGAAGACAAATCTCATTAATGATTGCTTAAAAAAAAAAAGACAGAAAGACAAACCAACCAACCAACCTGATCTCAGCGCTGACCCCTCAGGGCTGTGCAGCCCTGCAGGACACCCTGCCTCCTGGCCCCAAACTATGAGCTATTCATTCTTCTCTTTTTTGGGGTGGGATAAGAGCCTTGTTCAGCTGCCTTGAGGAGGGAGGGGGAATCCCTTAGCAGGTGACCAGGTCTCCTTATCGTCAGCCATGAAGAGAGGGCCTGCAGCCATGCGGCGGGTCAGGGAGGCGGGCAGACGGAGCCACAAGCGCACACTTTCTGAGGCTGCTCGAGGCTGAGGCAAGAGGCCAGCAGGTCCCCCCAGCGCCCCTTGCATCCATCTCCCGGGCTGTGTCCACGGGTGGGCCTCCTCCCGGGCTCTGTGGGTGAGGCTGGCCGCCAGCCAGGGTAGGAGTGTGGGCGCAGCACAGGCTCTCCCTCCCCTGCCCTGGTTGCAGGCTTCCTCTCCCTAGGCCCCTTTCTGGAAGCGCCCACAAATCATACAGCGACACACTTCGGAACCCCCTGCATCTGCTGGCTTGGGAGAGGAAACCCAAACACGTCAATACCTCAGGCCCTGCAGGTCACAGTGTGAAGAAGTGCAAGGAAAGCTGAGAGAAGAAACACTTGGCCAGGAGCCACCCCAAGGCCCCTGCTGTTGGGGCCTGGCGGAGCAGCCACTGCACGGATCCTGGAGCTGTCCGGGGCCTGGCTGCAGCGGGCACAGCGGCTGTGTGGCTTGAGGACCAGGACAGACCCTGGTGTGGGGTGAGGAGGGTGTGGCCCTGATGGGACAGGTAGGGTAATACTGACAGAAAACTCGTGTGTGCCCCAGGGGCTGTCTCCCTGACGAGGCTCTTCAGGGCCCCGCCCCACACTGACCCCACTGCCTCTGTTTGGGTCCAGTTCTCACTCTGGAGGCTTCTGCTGCAGGCTGCGGGCGGGGAGCATCCGCTTGCTCCGGATGGAGGGTGGCAGAGCGGGCCTGCATGCCAATCCAGGGACAGGAGCAGCCATGCGCCAGGAGCCCCTGGAGTGCCGCTGAAGGCTTTTTCTTTAATACCTTTTTACTGTCACCGTCTCGAGTGGGTTGTCACGCCCCGCACTGAAGAGACAGTGATGGTGCACCCTAGGGTTCCAGAAACACCTGTACCTGCTTCCACACAGGCCCTGCCGCGGTCTGCGTTCTGGGTCTCTTCGGGCACAGGGTGAGGAGCATTCAGCGCCTTCCCAGACACCAGCTGCTCCCTTTGTCCTGGGGAGAAGGAGCCATGCTTTGCCCAGAAAACCCACTGGACCACCAGTGAGGCCTGGCCAGGCAGAGCCCACAGGGCTGAGGCCGGGCATGAGTCGGTTTGCTCAGCAGGAGCCCGAGAGCCTGCCACACTGACCGGAACTTAAGATGGTTATATACAATTTATAAGTCTCACAGAAAAAAAAAAAAAAAAAAAAAAAAAGAGAAGCAAAGAAAAAGAAAAGGAAAAGGAAAAGGAAAAAAGAAAAACTGAACACCCAGCCTGCCTCCCCTGCCCCCCAAGATCCCCATCCTGGGTGATGCCCTGAATGCCACCCTGGAAAGGGCGGCTGGAGCCATGGCTCTGGCTGGACACTACTGGCAAAAAGGGGAGGCCGTGGGGTCGAAGCCTTTAAAAACATCCTTCAGGGACGCCGCATCCTGCTCGCCCTCTCGGGCTGGGCTGTTCCCAGCAAACGGGCTTCCTGAGCCTGTCTTGGGCGCCTGCTTCACCGTCCCAAAGAGGGTGGGCACCGGCAGGTTGTGCACTCCAGGCTGGGATGGAGCACCCTCGGGGGACGGGGTGGCGGTGGTGGCAGCCGGGGCCGTGGTGGCTTTGGGCCGGGGCCGGTTGTAGCTGTTGTATCTGTCTGTGGGGGCGCCCCCATCGGCACCAGCCTTCCCCGTGTCCGGCTGTTCCAAGGCGGACTTGCGAACGAACGGGGGCTCCTTGGCCTTGGAGGCCGAGCTCTTGCCATTGCCCTCGGCGCCCTTGGGCTGGGCACCTGTGTCGGCGGCCGGCTCTGCAGCTTTGCCCCCCGCGTTGGGAGTCCTTGGGTCATAGAGGCTGATGCCACTCAGCACACTGCTCTGCCCACCCCCTCCACCCTGGCCCAGCCCACCAGCTGCCAGCACGCGGGGGTCATAGGGAGCGGTGGCTGGAGGGGAGGCCTCCCCACTTGGGCTGGCGGTGGGAGAGGGCGACTCAGTGGGGCCGGGCTTGGCAGCCCTGGAGGAAGCTGTGGAGTCTGTCGGTTTCTGCAACCGAGGGTCAGTGGGGGCCTTCCGAACCCGGGGGTCACTGGGTTTGTCGCTGGAGCCAGGGGTGGCAGAGGAGCCGGTGGCACTGACCGTCTTGAGGATGCGAGAGAGAAGTTCAAAGTCGGGGAGGTTGGTGCCCTGTGTGCTGGAGTCCGTGGAGGTGCCTGGGCGCTGCCGAGCGTTGGGTGGCCCTGCCGTGGCAGGGCGGTGCAGCCGGGGGTCCAGGGTGGGCATGGACTGCAGGGCGGCAGGCACAGGAGGCACTGCATCCTGCTTGGGGACAGGCAGGGGGATCAGGTCCTCGGGATTCCAGAGCACGGTGCGAGCGAAGCTGGGCTTGCTCAGGGTCACGTCCTTCTTGATGTGGCTGAACTGCTGCAGCTGTGACCGTGGGTCCCGCAGCGGGTGCCCAGGGAGCGGGTCCAGGGGAATGTTCACAGCCTTCTCCCTCAGGGCTCGCTCCCCTTCTTCCTCCTCTGCCGGGGGTGGCCCAGATCCCTTGGAACTGCTGGGGCCCACAGGACTGGAATGAAGGCTGCCTTCGAGCTTGGAGGTGGGCAGGGCGCGAGCCAGCCGTGGATCTGAGGGTCCCGAATCCCCTGGACCAGACCCGCCAGAAGCCTCTGCGTGGCGGGTGAGTCTGGGGTCCCGGCTGAGGCGAGGGTCAGCCAGCCGGCTTCCTGGGGGGTGCCCCTTCTGGAGGCGGGGGTCCCCCAGCCCACTGCTGCTCAGCTCTCCGACTGAAGCAGGGGGTCGGCTGGATGTCTGCTGCCTCAGGGTCTTCAGGATGGAGGTGACACTGCTTCCACCCTCATCCTCGTCACTTGAGTACCAGTTTCCAGTGTCACCTGGGAAAGAACAGAGGAGCAGGGAGGGGTGAGTGGTCACATCTACTGCCTGCCCCCTCAGACCCCACAGCAGCCCGCTGGCAAGTGGCTCCTTTGCTTGTGCCTCTCAGAACCTCAGAACCTCCTCTCTAAGGCCCCCTCCCCTCAGTGGGTGGCAGAAGAGATGCAGGGAGCTAAGCTGCTATCGTTTACGCTGCGCTCCCCAGCCTCCTCAGCAGCGACACTGCACTAAGTGTTACTTTATTTAAATAACTCACAACCACCCAAGAGGTGGTGATACTATCATGCCCATTTGACAGACGTGAAAACAGAGGCACAGTTCTGTTAAATCGGGGTCAGGGCCAGGACTCACTGGGACTCCTAGCCCAGAGTTCTGCTGCCTCGCCTCGCCCACCTCAAGGATAGTTCAGCCCTCACACTGTGGCAAGTCCGGCTGTGGACACCTCTTTCTGGAGGTCCTGGTAGCAGCCACCATTGACTCAGCTCTGGCTAGGTAGGCCTGGGACTCACAGACACTTGCCCCCACGCCAGCTGGAGATGTCCCCATGTCCCAGGGAAGGGCCGGTGTGGACCAACCACAGCCACCGGCTGGTGAGAGGCAGGGCCAGCTAGGCAGACTCAGACATGGACTCAAGCAAAACCTAGGCCAGCACAGCCTGAGCCACCAGGGGAGCAGCCCTCTTCCTGCTGTCCCACTGGCTCCTGTCAGGGCCACCTGTGGCCTCTGACTTCCGGATCTAGATACCACTTGTCATTTTACCCCATGTGGACACCACTAAGTCAACCACACAGCACCTGAGACTCAGTGGCTCGTGACTATGATTACTGGTTAATTTCAATGACTATCTCTTTGTCTGTTGGCTCCTTGAGAACATGGTCTAGGAAAATGGGGGCTGTGAGGGTCTCCCTAAAGCCTCCTCTGGCAGGGCGCAGGTGGTCAGTCCTGCTGGCCACCGTCTCCTCTGGGGATCAGCCCTCCACCCTACTCCATGGGATCAGGGTCTCTCGGACACACACATAAAGGCATCCCTGCCTGCCAGTTCTCTCAGGGACGTGCAGCAGCCCCAGCCCGGCTTCATGGCCCTGGATAGGGGTCTTCCCTGGCCACGGGCTCCTTCCCGACAGGAAACCCGACCTGGAATACCCCACCACCGCCGCTCCCGGGGCCTGTGCCCCTGCCCCTGGGGCGGACACATGCCTTCCTCATTCTCCCGGTCCTGCTTGCTGCTCTCAGCCAGCCTCCTCGCTCTCTCCTCCTCCTCCTGCTGCTTCTGCTGGATCCTCAGGTACAGGGCCCTCTGGGCTGAGGGCAGGAAGTCAGGGACACCGGCGCCTGGCTTCGGCCGGCCTGGGGGCCCTCCCTCAGAGAAGCTGTCGGGCTCCAGAGGGTGCTCAGGGAAGAGGTGCTCCCCAGGCTCCCCTGGCAGCTCTTCGTAGTGCCCGTAGTCCTCTGTGGCAGGGAAGAACTGAGGGTTCATGTCGGGAAGGGCCTCCAGGCGCCAACTCCAGCCCCCCTTGACCCTCACTGCAAACCCACCCCAATGGCGATGGAGAGGACGCACAGCCTGCCCCTGCCTGCCCACCCCAGGTCTCAGGGGAAAGGAGCAGCCAATGGGTAGCCCTGCCTATGTGAAGAATGAGGTTCACAAAGAGGGCTGAGTGATGGGGGCGAACGCTTATGAGGTGGAAACAGCATGGAACACCAGATGTATGTTTATAAAACATGAGGAGAAAGCTTTGAAAAGACAGAAACAGTCCCTCTGGGAGGCAGATTCTAGAGAGGCCAGGAGTGGAACCTGCACTCTTTTCTGTACTTAATGATTTTGGATGGACAGGAGTTTCTAACAATCAGTAAGGAAACAACGTGCATCTCATAGTGAACTCAACCACATTCAACACCAAAAGCCAGGACAACAGAATGAAATTGGGCCAAAGTGTTGCTCTGGCCACGGGTCAACAGAGGCTCCAGAGTGCCTCCCCTCCTGCTGCACAGCATTAGGAGGTGTCTCAGGAAGCACGAGGCCAGGGCTCTGCCTCCACTCCTGCAGGGTAAGCACTGGCACCGGCCACCTCACCTATGCACTCCCCCAGTGCCCAAGCCAAGAGCTGTGGGAGGGGCACAGGTTGACGTGGGGACGCAACAGGTGTGGAGGGGAGAGCAGGCTCGGCGACACCTTCCTTCATGCTGTGTGTGTGACAGATGTGAGCATGGGAGGCAGCGAGTCACCAAGGCAGCGGCGGTCTGGAGTCAGTGCTGCCCCACAGAACGCTCTGCAGTGATGGAAATGGTCTAGATCTGCAGGGCAACATGAGGCCGCCTCCATCCTCCTGCGGCAGCTGAGCACTTGAAACGTGGTGTCTATAAAGTGCGCCTGTAACTTAGCCTTCATTAATTTCAACTTCGTCATATGAACCTGATGGGCCAGCCTGCTCTATGACACATCCGGCGCAGAGCTGAGACCGACTCGATGAACCAGACAGCCGAGGGTCCCCCTTCACGCACAGTCTGTGCACACACCAGAAACCACTGACCGCACATGTCAGAGGGAGGATTTTATGGAACACAATTACTCTAGAGACACCTACTCCTAACAGCGTGACTGACTTCTGGTTCCCCACCAGCAGAGCTTTTCCCATGTACCTTTCAGACGCATTTGTTAAAGAGGGGTGAGCTGAGGGAACCCCAGTACCTCCCTGTGGCAGCCTGTTTTTCTTGTCTTTCTAAAGCACGCATTCTCACCCAAGTACCTGCTCTCCTGGATCTATGCACCACCTAAAGCCAAAGACATTCACATTTCGATCTCTAGCATAAGCCTCTCCCTGATGCCCCTGAAACCACCCCCTCAAAATTACCATATGGCCGTCAGATGGGCAGGCACCCTGCAGTGACTGTGCCCCATGTCCAGCACCCTATCCTCAATGCCGTTCCTGTCTGCCTTGCCAAACACACACAGGGTTCACACTGGCCCACGGCGCCACTCCCAAACCTTGAAGCCCTGCCCTGTATTCCAGCGACTGCTCTGCTGCCTCCACCCAGGACAGCCGCCAGCAGCTGCCCCAGGTCCACACAGCGCCCCCACCCGCTGCCCTCGGAGGTCCCATCATTCCTCACATTGTGAGTGCTGCTTTACTTCTAAGAGAGACTTTTGTGACCATCCCCATGGAGGCACTGAGCCTTGTGGCCCACCCTCATGGTACCCCACCTTTTCTTCTAACAATGGCCAGTGCTGAAAGGAGCCAACTCCTCTATCTACACGCTTGCCACCTGCCTGGTTCTACCAAGATGCAACTGAGCAAGGACAGCGGTGGCCTCCCGTGCCTGGCCCTCCTGCTCCGGAGGGCTGCATACCGCATCTCCTGTGGCTGCAGCAGCATTATCTAACTCCCTCTGCTCATTGGATGTTTGTTACAAATGCAAAAGAAAGGCAAAAAGGAAGGAAAACGGCCAGTAATGAGAACAGAACCCGGAGTCCTGGGGTGGACACTGGCAGCTCCAAGCCGAGAACTGTCTGGAAGGCGGTGGCTTTTGCCAGGCCACTACTAACTGAGCCCTCTCAGTCTCACACCCTTGCACTCTCTTCCCTCTAACTTCCCACACTTCCGATTCCAGAAAGAGCTTGCAAAATTAAAAAACTCTATACTGATGATAAACAGGATACTCCTTTCTTCCTCAACAGAATAATGAATCCCATGTCACTGAAAACAGTCAACTGTTAAATGGGACACAGATGGACTGTGGAGTCATGCTTTCAAAGAGACTTGGATGAAGAAAGAGAAATCACATCTCTCCAACTCTACTGCACTGTGCAAAGCCCACAGCCCCAGGCAGCCATGCCTGGAGCCCTGCATACCTGCATCCCCCAGGAGTCCCGGCTCCATCTCCATGCCCTCCTGCTGCTGGTAGAAGTTTTCATAGAAGTTCTGGGCTGGCGGGATGGGGGGCATCATTCCAGAATGTGGGGAGTCTCCAGGACCGTAGGGCATCATTGGGGGGCCACCAGGGCCCATGGGTGGACCAGGATTCATGCCAGGGCCCATTGGCATGTCGGGGTGCATATCGGGGTGCATGTCAGGATGCATGTCGGGGTGCATGTCGGGGTGCATGTCAGGGTGCATTGGACCACCCATTGGCCCAGGGGGTCCCATGTTGGGCCCAGGGCCCATTGGCCCTGGAGGTCCACCAGGTCCAGGGAACCTAGAGAGGAAAAAGGCATCTATGAGAGAAGCCGCAGAGGAGGGTGGTGGCCAGAGACCAGGACTCCCACAGCTAGGGAGAGAGGCAAGACCCTGCCCCAGCCAGGCTGACAAGAGAAGCCTGGCTGGGCCCAGGACAGCACACCCTGGCCTGCCACAGGAGCCCAGGGCACTCACCTTACACCCAGCTTCTCAGCCAGCTGTCCCGTGGGCCGTACCACAATCTCAAACAAGGAGGGGATCTTCTTGTTGTACATGTCCTGCTGCTGTAGCTGCTGCGGGGACAGGGGCTCGTGCACTGGCATGGGCATCTGAGGGGGCCCTGGCGGCGGGGGAGGGGGCGGGGGTGGGGGCGGGGGGCCACCCTGCATGGGCCTGCCATTGGGAGAGGTTGGAGCCTGCGGGCCAGGGGGCCGAGGGGGAGTGGGTAGGAGGCCCACGCCAGGGGGTGGTTTGGGCAGGGGATTGATGCCCTGCTTCTTCAGTTCCTCCACTTCCTTCTCATCCTCAGCACCTGCTTCTGCATCGTCAGCCAACATCTGCAGGTGAGACAGAACAAAAGAAGGTATGGACAGGGGTTGGTCTAGAAACCCCTCTCCAGCGCTGAGAGCTGAAGTTTATGAGGAAAAGTCTGCAATACAAGGACCTTGAGATCTTTTTTTTTTTTTGACGGAGTTTCCCTCTTGTTACCCAGGCTGGAGTGCAGTGGCGCGATCTTGGCTCACCACAACCTCCGTCTCCTGGGTTCAAGCAATTCTCCTGCCTCAGCCTCCCGAGTAGCTGGGATTACAGGCACGTGCCACCATGCCCAGCTAATTTTTGTATTTTTAGTAGAGACGGGGTTTCACCATGTTGACCAGGATGGTCTCAATCTCTTGACCTCGTGATCCACCCGTCTCGGCCTCCCAAAGTGCTGGGATTACAGGCGTAAGCCACCGCGCCCAGCCCGACCTTGAGATCTTAAGGCATAAAGCGAATGACCACAATGGCTCTGTAACAAACACCACCATTAGTCCTCTGTTCCACTCTCGGGTACCAGCTAGCAGGGGGCGCTATTCCTGTTCTGTGGCAAAATACACATAACAAAGTATACTGTTTAACCACTTAAATTGAACGGCCAGGCTCGGGGGCTCACGTGTGTAATCCCAGCACGTTGAGAGGCTGAGGTGGGCAAATCACTTGAGGCCAGGAGTTCAAGACCAGTCTAGCCAACATGGCAAAACCCCATCGCTACTAAAAATACAAAAATTAGCTGGGTAGCGCATGCCTGTAGTCTCAGCTGCTCAGGAGGCTGAGGCAGGAGAATCACTTGAACCTGGGAGGCGAAGGCTGCAGTGAGCCGAGACCGCACCACTGCACTCCAGCATGGGCGATGGAGGAGACTTTGTCTCAAAAATAAATAAATAAAGCCAGGTGTGGTGGCTGACGCCTGTAACCCCAGCACTTTGGGAGGCTGAAGCAGGCAGTTTATCTGAGGTCAGGAGGTCTAGGCCAGCTTGACCAACATGGTGAAACCCCATCTCTACTAAAGATACAAAATTATCAGCTGGGTGTGGTGGTGGGCACCTTTAATCCCAGCTACTCAGGAGGCTGAGACAGGAGAATTGCTTGAACCTAGGAGGCAGAGGTTGCAGTGAGCCTAGATTGCGCCACTGCACTCCAGCCTGGGCAACAGAGCCAGACTCTGTCACAAAAATAAAAAAAATAGGCCGAGCACAGTGGCTCACGCCTGCAATTCCAGCACTTTGGGAGGCCGAGATGGGTGGATCACAAGGTCAGGAGTTGGAGACCAGTCTGGCCAACAGTGGTGAAACCCTCATCTCTACTAAAAACACAAAAATTATCCAACCGTGGTGGCGTGCGCCTGTAATCTCAACTAAGGAGGCTGAAGCAGGAGAATCGTTTGAACCCAAGAGGTGGAGGCTGCAGTGAGCGGAGATCATGCCACTGCACTCCAGCCTGGGTGACAGAGCAAGACTCCGTCTCAAAAAATAAATAAATAAACCAAAAAAAAATTTAAAAAATTAAGTGCTTGACTGTTGTTGCAGCCACCACCTTTACCTAGTTCTAGGACATTTTCATCACCCCCAAAAGAGACCATGTACCCACTAAGCAATCACTACCTGCCCCCTGTACCCAGCCCGAGAGCCACTCTGCTTCTGGTCTCTGTGGACCTGCCCCTGCTGGACGTCTCCTGCAAACAGACTCACACGGGGAGAGGACTCTGAGAGCACGTACCTGTTTCCTCCAGGAGCCCTCACACACCCGTTCCCGTGGCTGAGCCTGCCTGTGTCCGTTCACTGCAGTAAAATCTTGGCTGTGAGTCCCCCAGGAAGTTGCTCTCGGTCATCTTGGGGAACCCCAGCACAGATCCCTTAGTGGGCCCTAACACTTATCCTAACAGAGTCAGGATAAACTAGTCCTGCCTCTCTGCCTGGGAGCAGCGGGGTGGCAGAAACAGGGCCCCCGGTGGGGATTGTGCACTCGCAGCTTTCGTTTCTCCTAGCCATTAGCAGCGGTACGTGGACCCTGGAGCCCCAGGCTCCAGCAAGAATGTGGCTTCATGGAGGAGGGGTGGAAATGGCACGGTGGAACCCCTCTGTCCTTCTGAGCCCTGCTACTCCAGGTGCGGTCAGCATGTGAACCAGCACCACAGGGGGACCCGCGGAGGCGGAATCCGCATTCTGCCCTCGGAGTGTGGGCAACATCACCTGAGATGAGTCTTGCTGAGGGAGCCTAGAGCGTTGCGCCGGCTCCCAGCACTGCTTCCTCAACTGTGTGCGCCGCCATGGCTTGCGCTGCCTCTGCTACCCTGCACCTCCTCCTCCTCTTCAGTCCTGACTGTTGCATACCCTGGGGCCGCCAGGCTCACCTCCTCACAGAGCCTCCCGAACACCTGCCTCACAAGTAGAGCCCTGATAGAGTCCTGGACTCCCGCACTTGCTGTGCATGACCTGACCCCCATGTGTCATCAGCATCTGCCCAAGGAACTACTCACCACCCTCAGTGCCTGTCACAAACAAGGCACAGAGATTGATCGAGTGAACGGCTAAGCATGGAACACAAACCAATGCACCCTGCCCTGCATTCCCTGGACTCCAGAGGCTGGGTCCAGGGCAGGGGAGAAAGCTCAGGCCCTGGCTGGTTGACTCCACCATGGAGTCAACTGCGGAGTCAACCCAAACTGCCCATCGGTCCTGTGAGCACAGATCCGGGGAGGGCACCTCTGTCCCCATCCCCTTCACCAGCAAAGACAAGCACGACCAGCTGGGACCACTAGCACCCCGCTGGATGCCAAAACCTCTCTAGCCAAGACAGACTCTCAGTGATCAGAGGAGTTTGCAAAAGTCAACCACCTTCTGCAAGCAAAAAGTGACATTAGTAGAGGTGCAGAGGCATGTGGGCTGAGCCCCATCAGGCCATGTGAATAAGCTCCAAGCCACTGGTTAGCACATTAAGCTTTTGCCCCAAACTGGGAACTGAAATGTCCGTCAACAGATGACTGGATAAACAAACTTAATCATCCACTCAGTGGGGCACTACACAGCCACAAATGGTAATGAACTCGTATTTGCAACAACACGGGAAGATCTCAGAGGCTTCATACCAAGTGCAAGAAGACCGATGCAGCGTGCGCACACACATATGCAAACTCTTAAAGGCTGTTTACCTCACAATTTTATTTATATGATTTCCTTGAAAAAGCAAAACCACAAGACAGACTCTGATCCATGGTTGCCAGGCACTGGAGACGTGGAGAGGCATTTACTATAAAGGACACATCGGAGTTTCTGGGGTGACAGAATGGGTTTCCTACATCCATCTTGTGAGGTGGTGACATAACTCAACATCTCTGTCAAAACTCATAGAACTACATGGGCAGGTTCAGTGGCTAATGCCTATAATTCCAGCACTTTGTGAGGCCGAGGCTGGGAAATCACTTGAGGTCAGGTGTTCGAGACCAGCCCGGCCAACATGGTGAAACCTAGTCTCTACTAAAAATACAAAAATTAGGCTAGGTATGGTGGTTCACGCCTGTAATCCCAGCACTTTGGGAGGCTAAGGCGGGTAGATCACCCAAGGTCAGGAGTTCGAGCTGACCAACATGGAAAAACTCCGTCTCTAATAAAAATACAAAATTAGCCAGGTGTGGTGGTGCCTGTCTGTAATCCCAGCTACTTGGGAGGCTGCGGCAGGGGAATTGCTTGAACCCGGAAGGTGAAGGTTGCAGTAAGCTGAGGTTGCAATGAGCCCAGATTGCGCCACTGCACTCCAGCCTGGGCGACAGAGTGAGACTGTCTCAAAAACAACAATTAAACAAACAAACAAAAAAAACACCTTTACAACTGTATACTAAATAGGGAGAATTTTACTGGAAATAAACTGTGCTAAATAAACCTGACTTGATGAAATCTACGTGTAACTGAGGTACTGAAGATAAAGGTATGACATATGCACTTCACTCTAAAGTGGATCAAGAAAAAAAGATATGCACACACACATAGACTAAAACGTAAGAGCACAAAAATAAGGCAAATGGGGCAAAATGTTACAAACAGATGAAACTTGGTGTAGGGAATTCTGTTATTCTTAACCACTTGCTCCCACATAAGCATCACGACCAACCCCAAATGCAGGCAAGTTTCCAAACCCGGAAGTGATGGCTGAAAACAGACATTTCTAAACAGACAGAAACATCACCAAGAAGTGGGAAAACAAAACTGAAGACAAAGAGTGTGAAGAGGATTAAAAGAGCACAAATGCTTCACAAAAGGGTTGTGAGGACCTAGTCCTAAAGGGGTCCCCAGCTCTGATGGACCAAGGCCATAGCTGTCCTAGCAGGAAGGCAACGGTGGACACCCCACACTTTTCACCAGGGTTAATCTAGGCCCTTCCAAGATGGTTACTGTGACTTTTGCTTTCTTCCCATCACAGCTGGACTCTCGGATGCTCTGTCCTGGTTTGACAACATTTCTAACCTATAACAGGGCATGCATGATATTGGTGCTTTCAAAATGTCTACGGAGGCCAGGCGTGGTGGCTCACACCTATAATCCCAGCACTTTGGGAGGCCGAAGCAGATGGACTACCTGAGGTCAGGAGTTCAAGACCAGCCTGGCCAACATGGTGAAACCCCATCTCTACTAAAAATACAAAAATTAGTTGGGCGTGGTGGCAGGCACCTGTAATCCCAGCTACTCGGGAGGCTGAGAAAGGAGAATCACATGAACCCAGGAGGCAGACATTGCAGTGAGCCGAGATTGCACCATTGCACTCCAGCCTGGGCAACAAGAGAGAAACTCCAACTCACAAAAAAAAAAGAAAGAAAAATTGGTACCAAAGAGAACACACAAAAACATACAGATATAATGCCAAGAGGTGCTTAAAGAACTCAGATAAATTTAGAAGGTATGAATTTTCAGGGAAGGGGTCTCTGTGCTTATTCCCAAGCAGAAACCTACAACCCTCTAACTTTGGCAAACATCAAGTTTTGCTTTCAGAAAACATTTCTTGACATAGAATTTACTTTTAATGAGCTCAAAAGTACCATTATATTTTATCTCTGTTGGCTTCATAGGCACTTTCTATGAAGCCAAAGGAGATCAAATGTAATCTCAATGCCACTTAAAAAAATTTTTTTTTCTAGCCATTGAAACTACACACATGGTGAAAACCCATCTCTACTAAAAATACAAAAATCAGCTGGGCATGGTGGCAGGCACCTGTAATTCCAACTACTCAGGAGGCTGAGACAGGAGAATCACTTGAACCCCGGAGATGGAGGCTGCAGTGAACTGAGATCACACCATTGCATTCCAGCCTGGGTCACAAGAGCAAAATTCCCTCTCAAAAAAGCTGGGCGTGGAGGCAGGTGCCTGTAATCCCAGCTACTTGGGAGGCTAAGGCACAAGAATCACTTGAACCTGGGAGGCAGAGGCTGCAGTGAACAGAGATGGTGCCATTGTGCTCCAGCCTGGAGAACAGAGCGAGGCCCCATTTCAAAAACAAAATTTAATTTCATCTGTTTCTTTTTACGTTTTTTTTTTAACATGGCTACTGGAAATTTTTAAACGGACGACGTGACTCTGTGGTGCTCCTATGGGCAGCACTGTCCTGGAGCACAAACTTGGAGCCTCCAGCAGGGGGCAGTCCTCAGTCAGAGACTGTTGAGTACTCAAGAAGTCGGGCCACGCTGACTGGCCATTGCTTCCCGGATCAAACAGCTCAGACTCCAGGTACATACTGATTACAAAACCCTAGGGCAGGCCCGGTGCAGTGGCTCACGCCTGTAATCCCAGCACTTTGGGAGGCTGAGGCGGACAGATCATGCGGTTAAGAACTCGAGACAATCCTGGCCAACATGGTGAAACCCCCTCTCTACTAAAATACAAAAATTAGCTGGGCTTGGTGGCGGGCACCTATAGTCCCAGCTACTCGGGAGGATGAGGCAGGATAATCACTTGAACCCGGGAGGCAGAGGTTGCAGTGAGCCAAGATTGCACCACTGCACTCCAGCCTGGGTGAGAGAGTGAGACTCCATCTCAAAAAACAAAACAAAACAAACAAACAAAAAAACCCCAGGGCAGCAGGCTCCCCAGAGGGACTGGCCTTTTCCTACAGACGCCCTGCCAATAGGGAGTGGAGTTCTCCTACATCTGCTTGCACCGGGCTTTCCCTACACCCCTCACGGGGGTGCCCCTAACAACCGTTAACAAGACAGTCACTGACAGGTGGACTCTGGAAGCTGGCAGATGTGCTGATGCCTTGATCCTTTCCATTCTCAAAACAAAGCCTATCTCCTAGAGCCTTCTGTGAACTAGAAGGCAGGCAGGAAAGCTTCATTACAAAAGACACCGGTTCCCGCACCCGCTCATCCTCAGATGAACTGGGAAACCCTGGACTGGCATTTGGGTATTCAACTCTAACCCAAAGTCCTCAGCCAGACTCCTCAGGGAGGACAATAAATGCCAGGATGAGTTTCAAATATCACCTAGCTAGTGGGGAAGCCCTGACACCTCCCCCGAGGGAGCCCCCTCTTTTGAGATCCCCAGCTTCTCTCTACTTTCTCTAATGCATAATGGGGGGCCCTGAGAGTTGCACAGAAACGTTTGACTTTTCCACCAAAATACAACCCTTGCCTCTTCTTTGTATATCTTTGGGTTTTTTGTGTCGTTTTTGAGATAGGGTCTTGCTCTGTTATCCAGGTTGGAGTGTAGTGGCATGATCATGGCTCACTGTAGCCTGGATTTCCTGGACTCAAGAGATCCTCCCACCTCAGCCTCCCAAGTAGCTGGGACTGTAGGCATGCACCACCACACTTGGCCATTTTTTTTTTTTTTTTTTGAGACAGAATCTTGCTCTGTTGCCAGGCACCAGGCTGGAGTGCAGTGGCACAATCTTGGCTCACTGTAACCTCCGCCTCCTGGGTTCAAACAATTCAAACAATTCTCCTGCCTCAGCTTCCCGAGTAGCTGGGACTATAGGCGCATGTCACCACGCCCAGCTGATTTTTATATTTTAGTAGAGACGGGGTTTCACCATGTTGGCCAGGATGATCTCGATCACTTGACCTTGTGATCCGCCCGCCTCGGCCTCCCAAAGTGCGGGGATTACAGGTGTGAGCCACCGCGCCCAGCAGCCAATTTTTTTTTTTTTTTGACAGAATACCTCACTATGTTGCCCAGACTGCAGTGCAGTGGCGCAATCTCGGCTCAATGGCAATTTCCGCCTCCTGGGTTCAAGCAATTCTTCTGCCTCAGCCTCCCGAGTAGCTGGGACTACAGGCACGTGCCACCATGCCCTGCTAATTTTGTATTTTAGTAGAGATGGTGTTTCACCATGTTGGCCAGGATTGTCTCGATCTCTTAACCACATGATCTGTCCGCCTCGGCCTCCCAAAGTGCTGGGATTACAGGCACGAGCCACTGCACCGGGCCTGCATTTTTTTTTTTTTTTTGAGACAGAATCTCACTCTGTGGCACAGGCTGGCTGGAGTGCAGGAGTGCAATCTCAGCTCACTGCAACCTCTGCCTCCTGAGCAGTTGTGACTACAAGCATGTGCCATCACGCCTAGGTAATTTTTATACTTCTAGTAGCGATGGGTTTTGCCATGTTGGCCAGGCTGGTCTTGAAAAACTTGGCCTCCGGTTATCTGCCCGCCTCTGCCTCCCATAATGCTGGGATTATAGATGTGAGCCACTGTGCTCAGCCCATCCAATTTTTTAAATGTTTAGCAGAAACAAGGTCTCAGATCTCACTACTTGCCTAGGCTGGTCTCGAACTCCTGAGCTCAAGTGATCCTGCCACCTCAGTCTCCCAAAGTGCTGGGGTTACAGGTGATTTGTGTATCTTTGTGTATTGTGGGCTCTCTCTAAATAACGGCTAAGAGATCACAATCCATGCTTGGAAGCACATCAGGCAGTATTCCTTTCATTTGGTCTTTTCCCCGGGGAAACAGTAGCAGCCTGTACTGGCCTAATACAAGACACGTGCCCACCTCAACTACCTGCAGAAGAGAACACTGTCCCCATGTCCTCCTTAGAATGGCCCAACTCCAGATAAACTCAGCTGGGCACTACAGAGGCTAGACAGGCAGGCTATATAGCACTGAGGCCTGGGGTGCACATGTCCCGGTTCCTGTGAGCCACGGGACCCCCGGACATTACCTTATCCAAGAGCTCCCTGGTCTCTTCGGTCAGAGGGTCGTGGGAAAACATGCAGTCGTCACCATTGATGCAGTTCCCAGTGGTGTGGTACAGCTTACACGGGAAATCGCGTTCATGGCAAATTAAGGTAAATGCTTCATCTCACAGAACCCTCCTGAAGGCAGAATCCAACTCCCTTTGTTTTGGAGATGAGAAAACTGAACCCAGAGAGGTGAGGGTAGGTGCTCAGGGCTGCTCAGTGAGTTGGCAGCAGACCCATGGAGAGACCCTCGCACTCCAGACTGCAGACCACTTCCTGCCCCACCACGCCGGCTGGGGGCTTCGTCCTCAGCTCGTCAACCAGACTGAGGAAGTTAAACGACTTGCCCAAGGTATAAAAGCCCCTGGAAGAATCTCAGGTGACTGTATGGGCCAGTCTTAGGAGCCTACAGAAGACAAAACAGGCACCATGTGCATCTCCATTTACTCCCTGGAAGGATAGGAAAGGCAGAGCCCTCTGAGGGCGGATGTGAGGGTTAGATGAGATGAGACTCACAGAAAGCTGTTGGCACAGAGAGAGAAAGCATAGCAAAGGAAGGTCAGCTGTTACTACCGTCAAGGAACAGAGAAGTTCTGCACCTCGTTCAGACCAGATGCTGGCACCAAAGGATATCATGCATATAGGGGCAGTTCTCGGCTCTGGCGCAAAATCCAGTGATGTAAAACTTGCACAGTTCTCGCTTCTTTGGGAGTTCAATGTCATGGCTAAAATTACAGTGGTCTCCCTAGAAGAGAAACAATGAAAACATAAGGTGGTGATGTGGGGAGCTCTCGCTTACTTCTATCTGCACAGGGAAGAAATACTGTCACTGCTGGTGCATGGAGGGGCCAGGGACAGAAACAAATCCCCCCTGGGAAAGGACGACAGGTCTAGGAAGCACAGGTCCCAGAGGCTGTTGCCCATAGGGTCTCACTCTGTTGCCCAGGCTGGAGCGCAGCGGCACAATCACAGCTCACTGCAGCCTCGCCACATGGGCTCAGGTGATCCTCCCACAGCTAGGAATACAGGCTCACATCACCAAGCCAGCTAATATGTTTTGAAATTTTTTGTTTAGACAGCATCTCACTATGTTGCCCAAGGTGGTCTGAAACTCCTGGGTTCAAGTGATCTTCCCACTCCAGCCTCCCAAAGTGCTGGGATTATAGGCATGAGCCACCAGGACTGGTCACTTCCTGAATTTAAAGAAAATCCTTTTGCCCATTTCTCTTCCCCCTAGCACCTGGATGTGATGCCAGGAGGCACAGCAGCCATCATGTAATCATGAGGACAAAAGCCACATTTTTTTTTTTTTTTTGAGATGAAGTTTTACTTTTGTCGCCCAGGCTGGAATGGAATGGTGTGATCTTGGCTCACTGCAACCTCCGCCTTCTGGGTTCAAGCAATTCTCCTGCCTCAGTCTCCCGAGTAAGTGGGACTACAGGCATGCACCACCACACCCAGCTAATTCTGTATTTTTAGCAGTGACAGGGTTTCTCCATGTTAGTCAGGCTGGTCTCGAACTCCTGACCTCAAGTGATCCACAAGCCTCAGCCTCCGAAAGTGCTGGGATTACAGGTCTCGGCCACCATGCCCAGCCAAAAGCTACAGGTTTAAAGATGGCAGAATAGTAAGGAGGAAGGAGCCTAGGTCCCCAGGGTGCCCCTGACCAGTGTACTGCCAGGTACAGCCCACCCAGCTCTAGAGTCCTGGTTCTGAGAAACAAATGTCTATGTGTTGAAGCCAATAGAGTTAAGGTTTCCTTTATTTCCGGCTGAACACAATCAACACCACAACACCAGGGTGAAATCCAGAACTGTGCTTTCCATCCCTCATCATTTAGTCCTCAGGAATCACTCACCATCACTTGAACTGAAGACAGCAGCTGATCCATCCCCCTAACTCTTAGAAATGCCTATTCTCTCTCTCTCTTTTTTTTTTTTTTTTTTTGGCAGTTTTGCTCTCATTACCAAGCCTGGAGTACAATGGCATGATTTTGGCTCACCACCTCCCAGGTTCAAGTGATTCTCCTGCCTCAGCTTCCCAAGTAGCTGAGATTACAGGCGCCCGCCAGCACACCCAGCTAATTTTTGTATTTTTAGTAGAGATGAGGTTTCACCATGTTGGCCAGGATGGTCTTGAGCTCCTTACTGCAGGTGATCCACCTGTCTTGGCCTCCCAAAGTGCAGGGATTACAGGCGTGAGCCACTGCGCCCAGCTTTCTTTTTTCTCACTCTGCCACCCAGGCTGAAGTGCAGTGGCACAATCACAGATCATTGCCACCTTGATCTTCCAGGCTCAAGAGATCCTCCTACCTCAGCCTCCTTAGAAGCTGGGACTATAAGCGGACGCCACCACACTGGGCTTTTTAAATTTTTTTTTTTTAGAGATGGGGGTCTCATTATGTTGCCCAGAGTGTAGTCATTTGTTTTTGCCTATGTGTATTTTATGTTTCTTAAAAGAATATAAATTGTAACTAAATACTGGCCGGGCACAGTGGCTCAAACCTGTAATCTGAGTGCTTCAGGAGGCCAACGCAGGTGGATCACCTGGAGTCAGGAGTTTGAGACCAGCCTGGCCAACATGGCGAAACCCTGTCTCCACTAGAAATACAAAAATCAGCCAGGTGTGGTGGCGTGAGTCTATAGTCCCAGCTACTCGGGAGGTTGAGGCATGAGAACTGTTTGATCCCAAGAGGCACAGGTTGCAGTGAGCTGAGTTCACGCCACTGCACTCCAGCCTGGGCAACAGAGTGAGACTTGATCTCAAAGGAAAAAAAAAACTATTTTACACACAACATTATTTGTTTGAGGCATCTGTTTCTTCCCAAGACAGTTGCAGGGGTGCAGTGTGCCCTGAGCGTACATCCGCTGGTGCCTGTTGCTGCCTTAACACTGGCATAAGAAGCTGGCGGCTGAACTAACTCTGGGTTATTACACTTGCTCCCTTCAGAACTCTGGTCCATCTTCTGACAGTGAACTGTGCTATGAAGCCCAAGGTTAACCTCATCTTCCCCTCCTCTTCTATCTGGATGCTTTAATCATTCCCTCTGAAATCCTGAAGCTCAGTAACTTAACCAGGATAAACGGCATCTCTGCATTCACGTCAACCTTCATCATTACATTTCAGGCTATATGGTTGAAAATTTTGGCCAAAAAATTCCCCTAAAACCAACAACACTCATCTTGTTGTGGGTCCTCCTCATTCTGAAAAGTAACCAGAGTCTTTCAGGCTCCCAGGCAGCTCTCAGCACCAGCAAGTATCCCACACAGTCACTCCCACCCACCCTACCACAGCTGCAGAACATTCTAGAAGCCCCGTGTCCTCTGGGAGCTGCTGGCCTCCTAGAGGTACCCAGGAGCTTTCAGCGCTCCTTACCCAGGTGCAGCGCCCTTCCACGAAGTACTTGCAGATGACTTTGCCTTTCTTGTCCGACTGCTGGTGGGGCTTGTCATGGTCACGACTCCGGTAGCTTCCACCACCACCACTGTCCTGCAGTGGACAGTGTGGATGTGAAGGGGGATGAAAGGGAAGGGAGGAGATGGGATCGGGGTTAATGAGAAGCATGGGAGAAGGGGATGAGGAATCCCTTAAGAGCTCCTAAGAGCATCGATGGGCAGGTTGCATCTAACACTGAGGCTGTGTACGCATTTGAGCCCAAGGTTTGGGGTGTTGGTGCCGAGCTAGGAAAAGCTCTAGTGCCTGGAGCTGCCAGCCACTGAAGCCTCAAGCTCCACACACCTGTGGAGGAACATGTCCAACACACCTAGAGGTGGTGGCATGGGCCTCACTGCAAAACCCTCCAGGCCTAACAGGATCATTCATCTAGAATCTTCTGAACTTCAGAGATGTGTTGGGTATGGCTGCAGGGTGCAGGTGCTGCTAATACATGGTTTGAAACACAGAGGGTCTCAGCAGCACGCATCTGTCCAGGATAACACTAGTTATCGCTGGTTATGCTGGTTAACGCTGGCCAGCCCTTTCTGGGGGTGGCTGACGGCAGCAAGGGAACAGGATCAGCTTCACAGAAGGACTCATTAAAGGGAAAAAAGGCTAATAAGAAGGGACCTTGGCCCAAATGTCAGATCAGAGTGGAGTCAACTCACGCCCATGTCGTCGTCATAGAAGTCTTCGTCATCGTTCATTCCACCCTTGTTCATCCCTCCTCGGCTGCCACCTCGGCCTCGGCCCCGGCCCATCCCTTTCCCTCGACCTCGGGAGCCCCTGCCACGGCCTCGACTTAGCCCTGTGGAGGGAAGATGATGTACAGCCTGCTGAACCTGCCCACCCGCCCGTCCCAACTCAATTCCAGCAGCTGCTGGAATCCCTGCCCCACCCAACGTGTCCCCTCCAGGACCCTGCCTACCTCGGCCACGGCCATCCTTAGAGCGGCGGTATTGGTTTAGCTCCTTGGAGTACTCGTCATAGTCATCATCTCCCATTGGCTCCTCACTCTCTCCATACTGGAATCCGCAGAGGAGAGCAGGACAGCATTAGGTAGGGAACCATGAGCGCTGTCCCCACCTACATACTGCCCCTTTCTGAAGGACGGTGACCACCGAGGGCACTCACAAAGGAACCTGTCACCACACGGCCTGACGGCAGGTGGTCCCAATCCTCCCCCCTGCAGTCTTCACTCTGAAAACCCGACCCAATAAGTAAACCCAGCACAGCTTCTCCCTACATAACACATTGCTGGGTGGCTCCAAGAGGGAGTGGACAGAGGGCCGTGGACTGGTGTGGAAGGCCTACTGGTAGGACCAGGTCAGCAGGTGCAGTGCACCCGCATCTCCTCCTCCTGGATAGGGGCAGGGATAAAGGGCCATGTGCCTGGCTGGCCAGGCAATAAATGTCTCTAGAGGACTTTCAGGAAACTTGGCTCTAGTGACGGGATGTTTTTCACAGTACATCCTGTGATACCTTTTCTTTTTCTTTTTCGAGACAGGGTTTTACAATATTGGCCAGGCTGGTCTTGAACTCCTGACCTTGTGATCTACCCGCCTCAGCCTCCCAAAGTGTTGGGACTATAGGTGTGAGCCACCGCTCCTGGCCTTTTTTTTTTCTTCTTTTTTTAGAGACAAGGTTTCTCCATGTTGGTCAGGCTGGTCTCAAACTCCCAACCTCAGGTGATCATCCGCCTCGGCCTCCCAAAGTGCCGGGATTACAGGCTTGAGCCACTGCGCCTGGCCTTTTTTTATTTTTGAGACTGAGTCTTGGTCTGTTGCCCAGGCTGGAGTGCAGAGGTGCAATCTCGGCTCACTGCAACCTCCGCCTCCCAGGTTGAAGTGATTCTCCTGCCTCGACCTCCCAAGTAGCTGGGATTACAGGTGTGTGCCACCACACCTGGCTAATTTTTTTTATGTTTTTAGTAAAGAAGGGGTTTTACTATGTTAGCCAGGATGGTCTCGATCTCCTGACCTCATGATCCGCCCACCTTGGCCTCCCAAAGTGCTAGGATTACAGGCTTGAGCTACTGCACCTGCCATTATGTTTTTTGCTTTAAACCACATGAAGGTTTTATCTATTCCAAAATGATAAACATTTTAAACACATACGTCTGCCCTCTGAGGCTTTCTTTCCTTCAGAAGGGCCGTGTGTCTTCCTACCTTAGCCCCACAGCCTCTACCAGCACTACTCATGGCCCGGAAAACCCACCAGCCTCACCCTGACATCCCCAGGACCAGAGGAAACCTTACGTCCATCTCTTCCTCGTAGAAATCCTCTTCATCCTCTGGGTGGTCTCCTCCCACGCCTCTGCCCCTGCCTCGGCTGCCTCTGCCCATGCCACGGCCTCGCGATCCTCCACGGCTTCCTCGGCCCCTGTAGCCCCGGCCCCGGCCTCGGCTGCCTGCATGGAGATTCAGACAGTGAGCCTCCAGTGGGAGCAGATGCCACCAGCAAGAAACAAGACAACCCACTTTTTGCTCCTGAAGTCAATCACTTCAGCCTCCTCCTCCTCCTCTTCCAAGAAGCCTTCCCAGATGCCCCAGGCAGGCGACCCCTGGTTCTCTCAATGGGGGCCCTTCAGCATGCCGGACACATAGCTGCTCCAGTCCTCACTCCCCTTCCTCACAGGGACTTGTCCACTTAGAGCTGCACTGTCCAATATGACAAACATCAGCCCACAGGCTAATGAGCACCTAACATGGCAGGTCCAAACTACAAGATGCTAGCCTTGAAGTCTGACAAGACTAGCCCTGTAGTTTGGACTTGTAATTTAGACAAGAGTCCAAAACATACACTGGACTCCAAAGACTTAGTTTTTTATTTTGTTTTTTGTTTTGTTTTGTTTTGTTTTTTTGAGACGGAGTTTCGCTCTTGTTACCCAGACTGGAGTGCAATGGTGCGATCTCAGCTCACCGCAACCTCCGCCTCCTGGGTTCAGGCAATTCTCCTGCCTCAACCTCCTGAGTAGCTGGGATTACAGGCATGCACCACCATGCCCAGCTAATTTTTTGTATTTTTAGTAGAGACGGAGTTTCACCATGTTGACCAGGATGGTCTCGATCTCTTGACCTCGTGATCCACCCGCCTCGGCCTCCCAAAGTGCTGGGATTACAGGCTTGAGCCACCGCGCCCGGCCTGNAAGGCGGGGGGGCAGGTATAGTGGCTCACGCCTGTAATCCCAGCACTTTGAGAGGCTGAGGTGGGCAGATCATCTAAGGTCAGGAGTTCGAGACCAGCCTGGCCAAAATGGGAAAACCCCATTTCTACTAAAAATACAAAAATTAGCAGGGCATGGTGGCATGCGTCTGTAATCCCAGCTACTCAGGGGGCTCACGTGGGATAACTGCTTGAACCGGGAGGCAGAGGTTGCAGTGAGTTGAGGATTGCACCACTCTAGCTTGGGCAATAGAGGGAGATCCTGTCTCACCAAAAAAAAAAAAAAAAAAAAAAAAAAAAAAAAAAAAGAGCAAGAGAGAAAGAATATATAATATCCCATGCTAAAATACGATTTAAAATGTATTAGGCTGAAAATAGATTATCAGCATTAGTTTAGTTGGTTTTACAAAAATTTTTCCCTCACTTAAAAAAAAAACACTGGCCAAGTGCAGTGGCTCAATCCTATAATCTCAGCGCCTTGGGAGGCACAGTTGGGCAGATCACTTGAGGACAGGAGTTCAAGACCAGCCTGGCCAACATAGCGGAACCCCATCTCAACTAGAAATACAAAAAATTAGGCCAGGTGCAGTGGCTCACACCTGTAATCCCAACACTTTGGGAAGCTGAGGCAGGCAGATTGCCTTAACTCAGGAGTTTAAGACCAGACTAGGCAACATAGTGAAAGCCCAACTCTACTAAAAATAAAAAAGCCAGGCGTGGTGGCATAGGCCTGTAATCCAAGCTACTGGGGAGGCTAAGGCATGAGAATCGCTTGAACCTGTGGAGTAGAGGTTGCAGAGGGCCAACATGGTGCCACAGCACTCCATCCTGAGTGACACAGTGAGACTGTATCTCAAAACAATAATAATAAGTAAGCGGGACGCAGTGGTACATGCCTGTAATCCCAGCTACTTGCAGGAGTGAGGCATGAGAACCGCTTGAATCTGTGAGGCAGAGGGTGAAGGCTGCAATGAGCCTAAATCATGTCTGCACTGCAAAATGGGTGAAAGAGCAAGACTCTGTCTCCCAATAAACAAAGAGTGATGGGGTCTCATTGTATTGCCCAGGCTGGCCTCCAACTCCCGGGCTCAAGTGATTCTCCCACCTGTACCTCCCAAGTAGCTAGGACTATCCAGTGTCCTTTCCATTTTTTAAATGTGGCCACCAGAAAATGTAAACGACATGGTGGCTTGCATTCTATTTCTACTGGACAGCACTGGTCTAGGATCTCCCCAAAGTACAAGGGCTGTCCCAGGAAGTTGTCCAAGAAAGACTGCTAGAAGAACGAATGAATGAGCAGCTATTCAAACAAGAATCTGGGCCTCAGGCAGGGCTCACAAACCTGAGGACCCCCGTGCTGGAAAATTCCAGAAGCCACTCTCAGGCTGGATGGTCTTTCTGGCAGGAGATGGTTCAACGGTTCTTGTTATTGTGGGCCAGGCTGGGCTCGAACACCTGACCTTAGGTGAACTGCCTGCCTCAGCCTCCCAAAGTGCTAGGATTACAGGCATGAGCCACTGCACTGGGTGAGACAGTTCTAAGAGGCCAGTCAGGGTTACTATGTCTCTGGTGCTCAACCCTCCTTTACCTCCCAAAGGACGAAGGTTCAAGGTTCAGAGGTGTGGCAGTGGCAAGGACTGCCGTCACACCTTGTCACGTGATGGGGCTGGGAGAATGTGGGAACACTGCTGAGGGTGGGGCAGCCAGCTGTCAGTGACCCTGGCCCCAGTGAGAGAGAAACTGTTCCCTCTTCGCCCCCGCAGCTGACCAGGAAGTGACCCTTCAGGCTCGTTAGCCTTCTCCCTGCCTCACACCAGCCTGGTACCTCCCCAACCACAGCTCAGTGGATGATCTCTCCGGTCCTCTGTGCCATGCCCGTGAAGGTCCTGGCCCTTCTTCATATACTTATCCCAACTCTAAGTGACCAGACTCGAGGCTCTGTGAGGCCAGGTCGTCCAGGTCAGCCCCGGTGGCTCCGATTCCCCAGAGGAGAAACTGCCAGGGTGAGGCTCACCTCGGCCGCGGCTGCTGCCCTCCTTGGCACGCCGGTATTGGTTCAGCTCTTTAGTGAAGTCGTCGTAGTCCTCCTTGCCCATGTCCTCCTCCTCGTCACCCTCGTATTCCCCGTACTGCTCGTTCTCGTAGTCCTCATACATGCCATAGCCCTTGCTGTCCATCTTGGAGTAAGCCTTCTTGGGCAGGGGCGTGGCATGTGACGGGGGATACTGCTGATGGGACTGTGTCCCAGAGACGGGAGAGGAGGTGAGCCGGATCCCACGGTTACAGGTGCAGACTACCAAGATCCCCACCATTCCCTAAACTGACATGTCTGGCTGGGTGGGGCTATTGTCCATGGGTTGCACTGCTGGTCCCCAGCCACTCTGGTGACCGGTTTCCATCCCAGGGAGTGGGGGAAGCAGTGGGCCTAGGTGTTTCTGTTCATAAAGGGCCAAAGCCTGAAACAATCAGAACCACAGACTCCCAATCCCTGAGGAACGAGAGGGAGGAGAAGGGAGCATTTCCTAGGGATGCAGAGCAAGCACACGGGGAGGGGCCTGGGAAGCAGGTGGGGGCTGCTCAGTCACAATGCTCCTAGGGCCCTGGAATTCAGTTAATGGCCTGCTTGGCAGCCAGGCTAGACAGCCGTCTCAAATGATGCTTTCCAAAGTGTGGTAATGCCAAGTGGTACTAGAAGAAGTTAAAGACATTCATAAAAATGGAACCAACTAAGACATCCTTCAACAGGTGAATGGATAACAAACTGGTATATCCAGACAATGGAGTAAAGGTGAATATATAACAATAATGTGTGCATTGGGCAAAACCCAAAGAACTACACAACTCTAAGGAATAACAATGTATCGCCGGGCGCAATGGCTCACGCCTGTAATCCCAGCACTTTGGGAGGCTAAGGTAGGCAGATCACCTGAGCCTAGGAGTTTGAGACCAGCCTGGCCAACACGGCGAAACCCTATCTCTACCAAAAATACAAAAATCAGCCTTGGTGTGGTGGCATGCACACATGGCTCTAGCTACTTAGGAGGCTGAGGCAGGAGGCTCACCTGAGCCCAGGGAGCTCAAGGCTACAATGAGCTGAGATCACACTTCAGCCTGAAAAATAGAGTGAGATCCGATCTCAATAAATAAATAAATAAACAATAAAGTCTATTAATGTTAAAAATCTGTATTATAGAAAAACAGGACAATGCAAAATACAGCTAGATACAGACACACATACAAGTACTTTAACACATCTTTAAAATGTCTCCAGCTCTAGCTCAAAAAAAGCATGTGATGTTCCCTCCATTTCCTGTGTCCCTCAGGTTTCAAGTCCAAACCTACACCAGTAGATCAATCTCGAATACGGTATTGGACGATGAATCATCTGTTGTGATAAATGTTGCTGAGTCATGGGATACCTGGGACAGCTTTAGAGACCTACTAACTTTAGCTAGGTGCATGGCTCACACCTGTAATCCCAGCTCTTTGGGAGGCCAAGGTGGGCAGATCACAAGGTCAGGAGATTGAGACCATCCTGGCCAACATGGTGACACTCTGTCTCTACTAAAAATACAAAAAAATAGCCAGGCATGGTGGCACATGCCTGTGGTCCCAGCTACTCGGTAGGCTGAGACGGAAGAATTGCTTGAACCCAGGATATGGAGGCTGCAGTGAGCTGAGATTGTACCACTGCACTGCAGCCTGGGTAACAGAGCAGGACTCCATCTCGATAAATAAATAAATAAATAAATAATTTCTCATTCAGACCTGGAGACCCACGTGCCAAGGAATACTGGGTAAAGTAGTAATAAGATGATTTTCTTTTCTTTTATGGGATTTTCTGGGGGAAGAAATGGTATACAAACTGAACAAATAGTTTAAATTGCTGCTTGAAACGGGAGTGACAATGGGCGAGTATTAACTTCTGCCTACTGACCACTGGAGAACATTTCATTCTCTCGACAATCTCCCATTAATGGTCATTTCTGAACACTGGAAGCCCACCAGGCATGACGTGGACCAGTCAGCAACTTTCTCTGACACAGAGAGGGCCTTGCCAAGGCCGCACAGAGGAGACTCAAGAGCATGATGGAGGTCGGCTAGGGCCTGGGTTCAAATCTCAGCTTCTCTACTTCAGAACAGTGCAAGCTTGTTGAAATTTCCTTTTCCTTTTGAGACAGGGTCTCACTCTGTCACTCAGGGTAGAGTGCAGTAGCCAATCACAGCTCACTACAACCTTGAACTTCTAGGCTCAAGGGATCTTCTCACCTGTCTCTTGAATAGCTGGGACTACAGGCACAGCTGGCTAATTGTTTTAAATTTTTTGTGCAAACAGGGGTCTTGCTTTGTTGCCCAGGCTGCCTTGTTGAAACGAAGTCTCGGTTTTCTCACTCATAAAACAGGGATTAAACCAATACCTAACGGCCCAGGACTGAAATCCACGTAAAATGCCCAGAACACTGCCAAGCGCTCAAAAAACACAAGCAGTTAGACTCCTCCCAGCCCCAGAGCTCAGCAGAGCGCACCCGTCACTCACCGGCACATACGGGGGGCTGTACTCTCTGTACTTGCGGTGCCCTTTCTCACTGGGGCTGAAATCCGAGTCATCTGAGAAGTCAGAGAAGTCATCGCTAGAAGAAGCGTGGCGCTGTAACGACAGGGGAAGTAGACTCAGCCACCCTGCTGCAGGCGGGCCACTCAGGCGTAGTCAGCCTCGGGACAAGCTATGCTGGCATGTGCCGAAGGGTTCTGGGCTTCACCTGAAACACCTCACCCGGGGCACTTAGTGGCAATGGGGCATAAGCTACCAACTCTTTTAAAAAAGGTCTTTATCCAATTTGAGATAAGCAAAGGCATTAAGAGTGCCCTCTGGGGTGGACAGCAAAAGCTCAGCCCCTGGGGCTCTCAGCCAGGCTCCATGCCAGGCAGCGGTGGCCCCGGTGAATCCTGGACCTACTTTGTGCTTGGACTTCCTCCTCTTCTTCGACCTTCTTTTCTCTTTCTCCCGTTCCTTCTTCCGTTTCCGCTTCAGTCTCCTGTGAGACTTCTCCTCGTCTGAATCACTGTGATGCTTCTCCCCCTTTTCTTTCCGGCTTCTCTCAGGCCCTCCGGAGGTATCCTGGGTCTCCTCTGCCCCATCATCTTCCAACTCGCCTTCCTCCAACTCTCCATCTTCCCTACAAACCAAAGCCACCATGACACAGGGTTTGAGAGACCTCCTAGGGCTCTGGGCTGGCCAAGGCTGACAGAAACTGAGGGCCTGGCTGCTGTGAACGAGGAGACCCTGGGAGGATGTGGGGGCCATGGCCTCTTGTTCCATCCCTTATCCTGCCCCAGAAAAACTATGCTTGCTCCAGTCTAACCTGGCTGGGGGAGGGGTAGGAGTTTAAGGGCATTGCCACCAACACCGGGACACAACTACGCCAGATTTCCAAACAGGACTAGTGTTCTTAGAAGAAATCAACAAGGTGCTGAGGTCATGGAAGTGGGAAAAGCCCCTCTTGGGGATTCACAACACTTCATGCTGCAGAACTTCCAGGAAGCACCACAGTCCAGAAACCCACACAGTTCTACTGGAAGCACCCGAAGCAATTCTGCGCCTGGCTTGACCACAGAAGTGCCTTTCCCAGGAAGCAGACCCGCATCCCCTCCTTACCCGGGCCAGGATCCCCTGCCGGGCCCTGGACCCGTGAGCTGGGCGTCAGTGCCACCTGAGGCTGAGGGTGGTGGCTGTGCACTGTCCAGAGGGCTGTGGTTCTGAAACAGGGGCTACCAGGGCCCACCCACAGGCAGGCCTGGGCTGCCGCCTGAGAACCTGTAAAGTACTTTATTACAAAAGCCCTATGAGAACCGCTGGAAACAGGCTCTGAGTCCCAGATCACCAAGTCTGACCCATCCTTGTCAGTCCCACACCTCTGGGCTGGAGGCAGGCAGACACTGGGCAGCTGGAGGACGGGGATGGGTCCCAGGCGGGCCTCATAATGACACTGGTCCGGGTTTCTCTCCCTCCTCTGACTCACCTCCAGGTACCAGGAACCCCTTCTGGCTCCCCATCCTATATTCTTCCCATTCCCCCAGGTCACCCCAACCCCAAGGACTTTAAACATGACAGACCCTGCCCAGTGGACATCCTGCATATGTAAATATCTATGGGTTGGGGTAGGGGGAAGGAATGGGTTCAGGAGGGGGCAGCTGGAAAAAGAATCCAGTTTTTGAGCCAAACCCACAGACACAGTGCTCACAAGTACAGGAGTTGGTAAAGGAAAAGCACAATTTTTTTGAAAAATTTTAAAAAGCTTCCCAAGTTCCCCATGAATGACCACAAAAAGGCTTGCGTGAGAGCATCCAACTCCTTCCATCTCAATTAACTAGGACACAAAGAGAGGTGATGTGAGGAGAAAATGTCATGAGGCCAGGCCCCAAAAGGCCAACCACAAATGGAGCTGATCTGGGCGGAAAGGCCCGAAGCCATCAGGCGGGAGCCAGTGCACTAGGGCGCTTGCCTGCAGGTTCCGGCGCACACGGCAGGCAGACTCCTCCCAGGAGCCTCCACTGGTCTTTCACTCATGTCTCTCCCTTTGTCTGCCTCCAGGCTGCTACCCAAACATCAAGGAACTCCTCAAGAGGGGATTTTTCTGTGAACTCTCATTCCCAATTCAAAGGGGATGGGTTCTATTTCAAACCCAAGTGGCCCAGCCCCACAGATACCCCACGGATACCCCTCGGCAGAGGTCAAGGGCAGCTCTCGAAACAGAATGCACGACACAAAACTTTCTGCTGCTTCAAAGGCAACAGCACAGAGAGGTGACCTGACCCATGTGTGCCTCGTGTTGCTTCGCTGACTAGCAAACTTGGCATGGGGCGGAGACGCAGGCCGCAGTCCTGAGAAGGGAGGTGCCTTCCAGCCGGGGTGCGGCCCACAGAAACCAAACGTGGGGCACAGCCCTCACTGGATGCCTCACCCACACCGAAAGGGCCACCAGACTGGGGAAACTGGTTTTGTCCCAAGGGAGAAGCTGTTACTCAGTGACACGGCAAACTTCCCACCGCCAGGGAGCTGTGCAGACACTGGGAGGTGGCGCCCTGATGGAAACACTGGGAGCGGGCCAGGGCCACACCTCAAGAGAAACGCAGGGAGAGGCCGGGCGCGGTGGCTCAAGCCTGTAATCCCAGCACTTTGGGAGGCCAATGCGGGTGGATCACGAGGTCAAGAGATCGAGACCATCCTGGTCAACATGGTGAAACCCCGTCTCTACTAAAAATACAAAAAATTAGCTGGGCATGGTGGTGCGTGCCTGTAATCCCAGCT